AGCAATATTTTTGTGTGTACTTGTACTTCAGCACAGTCACAAATGTATGTTTTAGACACTAGGACTGAACCCGACAGTTAAACTGAACATTGTGCAAAAATAATTTCTACAGTTCACCACATGCTGAATGGAAATTCACCTAATATCACAAACACATTCCTTATTTGGATGACTAGTCATTAAAGTTAGGAGGATGTCACGGCCCTGCGAGAGGTCCCAGGTGCAAATCCCGGACGAGCCCCCACTGTTTGTTACTCCATCTCATCTCCCTGTTTTGTTGCGGCTTTGAGCCAGCCATAACAGAGGAAAATAGAAACATATCCAAACCAAATCCACTTCTAAATGCTATGAGAAAAGCTGTAGACACAGACTTAAAACACATCTATATTTTCTGCTACACAAAGAAATTAGGAAATGCACTGTACTTTTAGACACCATTTAAAAAGTAAGATTTCTCACATCAGTGCCTATAAAATGTAAAGTTCTTGTAACACAAACTCCAATTAACCCTAACACTTTTTGTCTGCTTAACATAATCTGGAGTTGTATTTTAAAGATTTTTTTACCAAGGTAGTTCAACAAAACATTGCATTAACTTTGTAGTTATTCTGAACATTAGTTTGCCTCTTTCTTAGAATGTGATAACTCCATCCCAGGAGATATTCCAGGCAGGCACACCTTGCAGCCAATGAACATGAGGAATGCTCTTCGAAAGCAGCGGTTAAAATAAACATACAAGAAGGGATTAAGTGATGAATTGATGTATCCTAACCACAGGAAAACATCCCAGACAACAACCTCAGTGCTATAATTGATGAACGGATCCATAATGTTGATTGTAAAAAAGGGCATCCAGAAGATAAGGAAAACTCCCATGATAATGCCTAAAGTTTTTGCTGCCTTGCCTTCCCTCTTCATAGTGTTGCGGTGTCGTTTCTTCTTGCTCGAGTCTTTGCCCACTCCAGCAGCCATTTGACTTTCCATGGCGTTGATCTGCTGGGCCTGCCGTTTCGCAGCTTTGAAGATCTTCCAGTAGGCCACGAGCATGACAGCCATGGGCAAGTAAAAGGCTACTAATGAGGCCATGACGGCGTAAATGCGACTGACCAAAAATACACACATGTCTTCAGGAATTGGTATGTCTATGTCAGCAATGTGAAGGTCTAGCATTATGGGACCAAAGGAGATGAGCATAGGTACAGCCCAACAAACAGCAATGAGCAGAGCTACTCGATTGGGGGACATCTTCAAGGAGTAAACCAGCGGATTGCAAACGGCATAATACCGGTCAAAGGCAATGCAGCTGAGGTGGAATATGGAGGCAGTGCAGAGCATGACATCCAGGCTGGAGTGAAGCTTGCAAAACAGGGAGCCAAAGTACCAGCATCCCTCCACAGTTCGGATCATACTGTAAGGCATCACCAACAGGCCAACCAGGCAGTCAGCCACGGCAAGGGACATGACAAAACAATTTGTCGGAGACTGCAGCTGCTTGAAGTAGGCGATGGACAAAACAACCAGGAAGTTGCCCACCACAGTGGACACTATGCCAGCTGAGAGGAAGGTGTACAGAAAAATGTGTGACACTTGGTTCCTCAATGTAGCACAGGACATTTCTGTCTGAAGAGATGTGTTAGCTTCTCTAGTCCATTCCAGGCTGATGTTATCCATGTTGTTATCAGACCTGTCAAAACACACAGTTGGAAAAAACAGCTATGATACTGGTTTCACTCCACAATGGAATACTGGTAAAAACACAGAAATTTATATTAGGCTGATGTTTCACATAAAAGTATCTTACATTGTTTGCAATTCTCTAAAGCTTAATAGGTTTATGTTTAATAAATCACCAAAAAAGACCTGAAAAAAAAAAAAACGTTTTGTAGCAAAGTATCTTTAACTTTATA